AGGAGGAAGATGCGTGCAAAAAAGGAGAGCCCCATTCCACCCATGACTGGCCGTAGCTTAGGAACGCCTTCTCACGCACAACCACAACCACTCCTCGTCTCCCGGCCATTTTATAGCATTCTCCAGAGACTGCTGCTGGCTGTTTGTTAAGGAATTCCAGGCTGTCGATTTTGTGTGGAATGCCAATTGGCGGGTCCGTTCCAAGGGGATCACGTTTTTCGTCTAAACAATTTTTTTTGAAGATGCAAAAAAAGTTCAAATTTCACAATTTCGAAATTATAATATCAAAATTCAAACATTCGCAATTCCGTCCTGGTAAATTCCGACATTTTCTACTACAGACAGTAAATCCATCTACTATCTGTCCATAGTCTGACGCTTGCGAGAATACGTTATTAAAGCATTATCACAACTTCCTAGCCGTATCATCACAATCGGTATGATACCTTTTTGTTATTCCCTTTGCGACTGTGGTGTTATACAAATCCTTCAAATTCCCCAAAAACCAGAGTCGCAGCGTTTTCCATGACTTGTCATGCCAGGCGCCCCGGGCAAGAATAGGGCCAAATCGGCCGCGCTTCATGGGTTCGAGTTTCGGAAGTTGGGGGCCCATTCTTGCGGGTTAACGCTTGTTGTGCTTCCCGGTTCAAAGGCGTAGCAGGAAGTGGAGTGGGGGGGGGGACAATTCGGAATTTCGTAGCGTCTGAAATCCGGATAGTGGTAGCATGTGATCAATGTCACGACATCAGAGGCCAGGATCAGCCAGAGGCTCGTGCTTTCCGGGATCTTTTTATACTTTTTCTGTTTTAGGATTTTCATATAATTTTTATTAGATCCGTGAATAACACTGTCATCATTTTGATCTTGTAAAAATGGCCCGTTTGCCCGGTTCGAGCGCCTGAAATTCCCTTCAGCCAGGTGCAAACCTCACCAAAACCAATCAAATTTCCCGCCCATATCGACACGCCATTTTGAACTCATGGCCCCCGCAATACATCTATTAATACCGTAACTTCCGCATTTCCGATTGTCAATTTTTTAGAAGCCCAGCAAATTAACAAGCCCCCGCCCCTCATGCCCCAGTCAATTAGCATCGCAACGCAGCCACTTCTAACATTATTATGCCCAGAATTAATTGCCCCGGCAGATCCTTTCCGGCGGCTTTCCCCCGACAAAAATTGTTTACGAGCTGGCGGCGGTTTTTGAGGTAATTTATTTGGGGATATAGCTCGCAGCTAGCTTGGCCAATTTACCGGCGTCAACTTGGTATGGTTAGTTTTTTATAAATATTAGTTTTTGACCATTTCTGAGCATGAAAAATGTTGTAATATAAATTAAAATAATCGTTTCTCTAGGTCGAAAAACGAGATTTTAAATAAAAATGATCATTTTGGCGGTTTTTCCATCATTTCTCTCGTTTTTTAACGTTTTCCTACGTCAAGTAAAGCTAACATGTGCTAAATATAATCTAAATCTGATTACTAGGGCAACCCGGACCGAGAAGAAACATTGTGTCACCCCAAAGCGTAAAAAAGCTCCCACTAACCTTGGCTTCGGTCAGCTGACCGTTCAAAGCTTTCCACGACCCGCTTCCGGCTTTTCGCAGCTGCAGCACACCAGGCAGACTTCCGAAAAATGCCGACAAAAACGCTGAGCAGGGGAAATTGGCCGTTGGACCGAGAGCGGCGGGCGCAAGCCGGCATATCCTATGCTCTGCCTAGGCAGGCCGATGTGCTCATTCTTGACGTTTTTCGAAGAGCTGCGCAAGTCTTCCCGTTCTTTGTGCTGTCAGAGATTCTCGTTCAGGTGTTCGAAACGGAAGTGAAAGGAGGCTAGGAGTACTTTTTGCTCCGCCTTGAGCCAGAACCCGGTTATTTATTCAGCACGGGGCGGCAATTTGGGTAGGGCGAGCCATGGGTGCAAGAGTTTCTTGCTTAGCTGGTTGGGAACCTTGAGTTTATACGGATTTTGAGTTTATAATTGTCTGCTAATATGATATTAATAGTTGAAAGTTATTCTAATTTGATTACGCCTAAAATTCAGCCTAATCTATCTGTTATCTTTGCTATTATCCACTTTGAATCTGCATTTTGGTTAGCTCGATGGTTTTCTGCCTGTTGTTTGCTGTTCTCTGCTTGACATGAAGCCCAGAGCCATATCACTGTCTGTTTTTCATATTTTTAAAACTTTTTGGTTGAGAAACTGCGTGACCGCCTTGTCTTGATAAACCCAGTAGGCGTGGGAATCAATAGTCAGAATTTTTCCGATGCTATACCACGCCAGTTTAAGGATCCAGCTTCTGGGACTTTCATAAAATTCATTGCGGATCTCGGATCCTTGCCGCTCAATTCGAATTCCTTCTCGTAAGTTAGAACCCTTCGTAGGGATGAGATACGGGGCGGCACTTGGCCTGCTGCACCTCGTCCAAACTCCTTGAGAAGAGGGAAAGGAATCCGTGTTTCCCAGGGATTCGCATTACTTGTGCGAGCCTCGCCAAGCTGGGGGATACTCCGGGGGTCTGGGCCCTTCCTTGCAATTGGGCCAATCATGTGGAAGCCTTCTTCTCCCTCGAGCCGGGCATTTGGAGCACCCGGAACGAGGCTTGGCCGGTTGGCCTATTTGGTTTTTCGGCAAAAACCAATACAGCAATTTTTCTGATTTCCATACACATTTTCGAAAGTCGTGTTTTTCAGAAACAGAAGTTCGCTTAAATTTTCGGTTAGCTTCAGCTGCTGCTAGAAAAGGTCAGAAAGTGTTAGCTCACATGATATAAAATCCAAAATCTTAAAAAAGATGGTTTGCCCAAAACCCGATTGCTTAAAAACAACTAAAATGATTCTGCATCTTTTTTTTTAATCTTAACAGGTAGTTGCCGATTTTACTAATCAGTTTTTCACTGTGAAATGTTCGGTACAATCCTAAGATCGCCATCAGATTGCGTCACAGCCCATTCCCGCCTACACCATATGAATTCCTTCGCAAAAACATGTAACCAGATGCACATGTTTCGGCTTCTTCCATTTTTGTCGTCTTCCCTAGCGTCCGATTTCAAAGATCCATGCCAAAAGTCATGTTCATTATTTATCTTCCATTGGCTGCTTGGCGCCAAAAAGATAGTTTAGGCAATTCCGATACCCCGCAAAATATCCAAACCACGCTTTTCAGTATTTATTTGTTATATTTTCCTATCTAAAATCTACAGTATCTTAACCACTCTACTAAAACGATTTATGAACGCGTCTTCCATCTTCTACGCCTCGATACCCATCCGTCGCCCCTAAACAGCCAATTTGCAGAATCCGATTTGTCAGAAGAGGAGAAGCAATCACAGCCTGACGACAAGTAGAAGGATGAGCTCGGAGACCGCCCAGCCCCAACCGCACCACGCTGAAGATGAGAATGCGGTTAGTGGGATCTTGGGTTCTCGGGAATTGTATTTATTTTACCAATCCATATGTGATGGAATAAGTAATGCAGCTATTCGGATCAGATTTTGGTTTAGGCATAGGCTAGGCCTCGACTTAGGGACCGGCTCGTGCTCGGGCTTATTAGGCAGAGGCGTATATTTGAGCTTAGCCTAAAGCTCACGCTGAGACGTAGACTTGGCTTAGGCTTGGACAAAGATTTTTTGGCTGTGGCTTAAGCGTAAGCTTAGATTTTGTTAGGTTAAGGTTAGAAAAGCGCCATGTCGATTGTATACATTGATATGCCAACCAGATACGCTCCTTATAGCGCAAAAACAGAAGATTTACTGATTTTCTGATTGTAAAAAAGCTCATGATTTATTTCCATTTTTGCCACCGTTTTAATGAAAAATACAATACGGACAGATTCTTTATGTTCACCCCTTCTGGATCTATCACAAATGCGAGAACTCTTATCAATCCACAAATTAGCTGCTTTCAGGTGGAAATCGGCGAGGAAATTCAGCCGAAAGACGCGGCAGGTGAATTCAAAAATTGCATCAAGGAGACGCTGTCCATCGTACGGTAGGTGGAACATGCTTCAGACAAGAAAGTGGCTCATTTTAGGAATGTCAGTGTCAAGAAGAAGGCGCACAAGGAGGATGGAGCCGTGAAAACTAAATAATATGTTCGGTATCATCGATCGATTTCAACCGCATTAATTTTACGTTTTCTTCTTACCCATCCATTGAACAATTTCCCCGGATCTCCTTTCACTTATCATATTCCTATTCTCCCACCCGATAATAAATAGTTCTCTTTATTTGTCAAAACTTGGAGGGAAAACGAGAAAAATGACCATTTCCAAGGGAGTAGAAGATGAGCACTAAATGCGTCGGAAAGGGGGAGGGGCAAAAACAAATACACACACACTTTACCAAAGATCTATTTGCATAAAGTGACTGGGATAGAGATTCAATGGAGGAGAAAAATGGTATAAAAAATAAGAATAAAATAATCATAGCGAATTAGTGAAGCTCATTCAGACTTTTTGACTGCCACGCGCGACGCGGGGGGAAAGCCCTAGGATTTGGAGGGGGGAGGGTGGTGTTGCTCAAGGGCTCACCCTCGAGCAGGGCACCAATAGAAAAATCTCTTTCAAAATGGCAGTTCACACAATACGGGAACACCCCACACAGGAATAAGCATTAAAAACAGTTGCAATATATTTGGGCTTGCTGTCTATTCAAAAAGATGAGCTTGTGTTACGGCGGTTTTTTTGGGGAGTAGCTTTCCGGGGCAGCTTTCGGGGGTTTTGGGGAGAATTGGTACAACAACACTGACTAGAACTTCTAGATCAATCAATGAGAATTGGGGGCTGAACAATTTGAACTGAAATCTTTCGGGGGTCTACCTGCTAGGTCATGGAATCGAGTGGTTTCGGGATATTGCAATTTCTGGAAGTACTCTGCGTTTCTAAACGTCTTTAGGTTTAGTCGGGAACTGAAAAAGGGCGTTTTCAAGATAAATGGTTAGGTTGGGTTGAGATGTCTATCTGCTAATACCGGGCAAAACATTGTAAATCCTGATCGTCTATCGGAGAAAGATGAAGGCGAGCAGAAGCCCGGCCGACTGCGTAATGGTGGATAGGGCGCTGCCCTTGGCTTTGTTCAGCGCCTCCTGATCGCTTTGCTCTTGCTGCGGGTCTTCCAGCTGAAAAAGGGTTTCACGTCGAGGTTAACGAGGGCGGAAACATCTAATATTCCCAAGATGCCGCGCGTCTTGCTTGTGTTCAATCCGAAAACTGACCGTATTCGTGTCGGCTTTCGGTGCCTCCTTAGCCTCCGGGCACTTAAACTCGCAGTCGGAAAGCGCATCGCGATGGAGTTCCTGCAAACGTCGATTAGAATAAAGTATTCAATAAAATGCGGTCATTTCAGGGCGTCGAAATTCTGGATGGCCAAATTTACATACGCGATTTTCTCGGAAAACACCCCAGTGCTTTGCAAAAAATTTCAGTATATTGAAATTTCGTCGTTGCGAGATTCCGTAATTTCGGCATTACGAATTTCGACACTATTACGGCAAATCGAATACACTCTGATACCGTAAACATGTTGGTGAGACTCTTGCACATGAGTCGCGAGGCTGCTGCCTGGCAAAGTCCGCTGGTCGTCTCCATATACTCATCAAGTTGTTGTTGTATCTAAAATGCGAATCTTCTCAAGCTGCAGATGCGAACCTCTGCGCACACTCCGTCATTGGGGCTATCAAGGAACTTGGTGGCCATGTACGTGCCAGCCTTCAATGTCATGTCTCCGATTCGTTCCTGAAAAAAAATCGGGGGTGGGTCGATTTTTACGGCCAAGCATACGTTTTTCAGGCACTCCCGATGTTCTCTCAGAATTTCCTGGCCCTCGGTGGAACAGGCGTATTTGAGAAGGTAGTACGACTAAATGTGGGGTGTTTTGAGCAATTTTCATGAGCGCTTTACCTTTAAGAATGAGCCAGCCTTCTGTCTGTGAGTGAGAAGATCGCTGACCGTCTCGGAAACCTGAAATTCGTGAAAGTATTGTACACAGAACAGCACTATGTCGATCATAATTAAAACGCGCTTAATCGTTTTTTCAGAACTAAATGAAGTCTTGCGAGAACTGTCATATTGTAAGTTAAACGCGGACCGTATTGAAATTTGGCATTTTTTGCCGATTAAATTTGTGCCAAAGCCGACCGCATGCCCTCGGTCCTTCTCGTTTAATGGGTCTTGAGTTTGCATTGTTTCTCGCAAATTTCGAGGTCAAAAATGCCAAAACGTTCCTTTGACAAAACGCTGATTTTTTATCGAAATTACCCAATATAAAAACCTGAGGTGTTTGCAACCTTTTAGAAATTCTACCCACAACGACTATTGTTTAATATATGGTAGGACAACAAAACTAGACATTTTTTGCTCACCTCGACAACTTCCGAGTGCTTGCACTTGTGCTTATTCTGACTCAGTTGCATTTTTCCCGCATCTTCGGGCGAGATGTCGTCCTGCAATAAATATTCTTTACTTATTTCCTTACTGTGGTGATATTTTTCGGGCTTCTTTCTCATTCTCCTTCTCGCAACCCACTCCCTAATTTATGGCGTAATGATAATTGGGTGTTTGTAGGGGGCAATAGAGGGTATTGAGGGGTGACAGACCGGTGTGCCTGATCCCGAATCTGTTCCGCTTCACCGCCGCCAATCCAATCGCCTTTTGTGGGTAGTGGGCCCGCGCTCAAAGCGGGGCACGATATAAAAAGAGAGGGGTTGACAGACGGCCCACTGGCACCTCACCATTAATTGACTCGCCTGACAATTGGCGGGTATTCTGGGGTCTTAGCTAGTAAGGGTAGCATAGGGAAAATTGTTCGCCTATAAATTTTTAACGGAATTTCTATTTAGCAACTGAACAATCCTTTTTCAACCCCTTTCTACCCTTGTCTTAAAGAACGAAAGTTCAAGCTAACCCTAGAACGAGCAAGCGTGCCCCCGTGCCCACCCAGCGAACGTGTAAACAAAATTTCCTGCTAGTAGCCCTCCCGGGCCGCTCAGCGAAGGGAATGGGCCGTCGAAAGGACAGAACGGAATTGGGACAATTCTGTTTGGAGTTGACGGCCAAAAGGTGACCACCCGAAATCGTACTCTAGTACTGCTAGGTCACGGGGGGGGGGGTCACTGGGAACATCGGTGTTCGAGAAAGTATCGGAAATTGCGGCTCTTGAATTTGATTTGTAATCATAATGTCGAAAATCATAATGTCCAAATTTTAGAATGTCGAAAAGCCATATTGTCAAAATCTTATATGTCGAATTTTTCGCACAGGATTTAGCGGTTTTTTCTCGGGGAGGGTTGTTTAAGGAAGTTTTCGCATTCAGAAATTTCGTCATTATGAATATCGACATTATAATTTTCGACATTTCGAACCTAACCCTTTCAATTCTGATGTGATTAAATTTTTCTTTAAAAAAAACACACCAAATTTCAAGCTATGGTTACAGTTTCTAAGCGATTTTCGATAAGGACAATTTATATTTGGGCTGGGTGCAGATTTCAAGGTCACTTACAAGCTTCCCAAATGGCATTTTCCACCTTTAGACGTCTTCCGATTTTCTACACCTTCCTTTTCTCGCCCATTCCGTAATTGTTGTCCCCGGCCCCTTCACGACCAGTTTTTACGCACAAATTACCCGGGACCAGTGTTTTCCCCCGGCTTTTCCGGCTTGAAGTCCTCTTTGGCAGCGCGACTCTGGCCCCTAGAGAAAGCAGCTCCAAAGCCCCCCGGCACCCACCCAGAAAATATGCACGCAAAGCTCATTTGCATAGGAAATTGAGGGGTGAGGCGGGCGCGTGCCTTATGCCCACCACGCACTTTTCTTCGTTTACGAGGTGCAGATTTTGGATGTGGCTTCTGGGCAAAAGTTTACCAGGCCGCTTTGGCTTCGATGGCTAATTGGCTCAATTCGGGGGGATTCTGTGGGGTGTGGGCCATGGAATGGGGCGCTTGAATGGGGTGTGGTTGACGAGTGACCCGAGAGAGAGAGAGAGCGAGAGAGAGAGAGAGGGAGAGGGAGAGGGAGGGCCAAAGTTAGGGAAGCTCATTAAGATGCAAATCGAGTTTGCATCGAAGCCTAGACACCCGCCAACGATGCCTCATCCCTGATTCCAACACCACCCCCCATGATTGACACCACAATGTTGCCCCAGGGTGTTATAAGGCTGTGCATTAATTTTACAAAATCTGCTAGACCAGTAGTACTCAGCTACGCAAAAAAACCTACATTTACACAGGTCTCGAGTCGACTGAGGTGCTTGCATTGTTCATCGCTGATCGTCACCACATTCTGCTTCAACTCGTACAGCGTCCACGCCCAATCGTCCAAAATATCGATGAAGCACTTCACCAGCGTGATTTGGTCGCACTAAAAAATTATTGTTTGGTAGATTGGACAGACGTAGACGCGTTGTTAGTGGAACCCATTTTAAAGCGATGGTGGTCAAAGTCTTTTACACACTTACAGTACTATAAATTCTTCTCGTCAAATATGACATCTTTTATGACATAGATAACGCAAAAATTATCACTGTTCGTTTTTATAAATTCGTCTATTCGAACCTTTTTAGCTTGTTCCTATCCCTTTAAAAAGCCCTCCCGGTCCAACTACGCAAAACGACTAACAACGGCTGCTGGCGGCAGATTTTTCCGAGTATCGAAATGTTAATGACCAGCTGGCGTCCGTGCAAACCGGGGGAAATTGCGTGAGTGGGGCAAGTGAAAGCGAAAGCCGAGTTTTTAGAGGAAACCGAGGGATCAGCCGTCTTTTTTTGACACTTACCTCGCTATGATAAGCGTATCTTTTATTCCTGACCTGAATATATTTTGTTAGCACAAACGGTCAGGTCGATTTTCAAACGAGATGCCATTTAGTAAACTGACCTCGGAGGCCGGGGGGTTGTAGGCGACTAGGATGGCGGGCAGGGTGAGCAGCAATAGTGAAATCCGCATTATCAGCGTGATGGCTGGCCGGAAATCGCTATCCTACGGCAAATGGTGGCTAGTCTGAAATCGAGCATATGCATTTAAATGGCTCCAAATAATAATAACATTTTGAGAACATCGCTTCACACCCAAACATCCTGAAAAATGTAGGCGATAGAGCGAGAGATATAGAAGCCAACTGCAGCGAGAAAAATCTTTTGAAAAACGAGAGCCAAAGAGATTAAAAACGCAGCAAAAATTAAAGAGGAAATTTTTCAGCCTGGTGCAGGGCAGGTAAAAGAACAGGGAAGGAATTTCAGGAAACTAAAAAACAACGACAAGAAATTAAAGTAATTCACTATTTTACCGTATTGTAGTACAAAAACATCCAATGAATAGGCCAGCAACCGGCCGGAAAAATGATGATAGAAGCGGGGAGGGCATAAAATAAAGGGATGCATTTCAAACAGGTGCACAAACATGCGCTATCCCATCCCCTCCCCCCCCCCTGCAGCTCTGCCGCACAAATGCCCAAAATGCTGATTAGAGGCTGGGCCCTGCCGGGAAACATGAGCCCCCACGAATACATATATTCCACCTGTTCCCCCTCACAGGCCCGAAATATCGCTTTCAGACGCGAGGGCAATGAAGAATCTGCGCTGCCAAAAAACGCTAAAAAACGACTGGCCCTGTGGATCACAAATTTATGAGGGCGCTGCCCGGGGGGGATTATGTGTCCCATGACGAAAAGGGCCGCCCGCCACTGGATTTTCTCGGTCTTGTGGATTTTGGATCGAGGCGGGAGAGATTAAAATTATACCAGGAGGGGCGCATGCCTCAAAGTTTGTAAAAGATATAAATGTAGCGTCTGGGGGTTGAAAGGGAAGACGTGCTCATATCCAATGCATTAGGGAGAAGTGGCTTTGGTGTTCCTGTTTAAAAAAATGCGAAAGATGGCATTTTCGGGTTTTTGACATTTTTAAGGGACCGTAACATTTTAAATAGGTCGTTCTCATGTAAAAACGACGTTTCGCTAGGGCGTAAATAGGAGTTCCACGTTGTGGTATAGATAACAGAATATATCTATAGATTTTCGTGGCTTATATAGCTCTCTATAACCCCAAAAATTCTTGCCTTTCAGGGACGTTACAACTGTAAATGTAAAAAATATAAAAATGGTAGTGGAATACAATAAAATTTGACGAACAAATGCCAAGAAATCCTGATGATTTCAGAGGAGGCACAGCCAAAATAGACAGGTGCCCATCGAAGCAGAAGAAGCCCTAAGGCTACGAACTCTAGATGGCCACAATCTCTGCCCCCGGTGCCCTCCCCGGGGCCGCGGGGGGAGAAGCCATATGGGTAAGGGGCGCACCCTTCCCCCCCTTCCCCCCGTGGCGTCCCGAGTTATTCTCTGAATGTGTTTGTGCCGAGGAGGGAGCCCGAGCTCTGCCCCCTCCCCCCATCCCCCTCCTCTAGCCCTCAAAAACGAAAATGGAAAATAGGGGAAAAAGTGGCCGGAGAAGGGGCCACGGGCCCACAGGGATCGATTAGGGCTCTCTGAGCCCCATCCCGCGCACCCCCAACACAACATGCCACCTGGGCGGCGGGCCTGATTTTTTTAGAGGCTGGAAGGCGCTACGGGGGAGAAGCGGAAGATGTTGGGGCTTAGATGTTAGTTGGGGCCCAAACTCAAAGCGGTCTGCAAAATCGGGGGGTTAATGCGGTATGAAGAGAGATCCAAAATCTGAAGAAACGATCCCGGTATTCTAATCTATTACCCGACTTTTGTTTTTGTAAATTTCGAGACAAGCGTAACGTTCCTTAATCTAAATTGTATATCAATCCCGGTATCAAGCCCACAACATCAAAATACAGCAAAAAAAACTGGCTAAATCAGGGCTAAAAGCTGCCCAAACCGCTTCAACTACCGGATATACCTTTACTTTACGAGCGGAATGCCACTATACAACAACCATCCAACAGCAATCCCCTAAGAGGTAATTACCAAACAAAAACAAATATTGGTAAAGAGCAGTAGTAAGCGGCAGTCATTCATTGCGTGGAGCACAGAATAGGGCCCCACCCTCCACCCGGTATATTAGGTCAATGGAGGGCCCGCAGGCAAACAACCGGCCCGGGCTGGCGGCGAGGGCTTCTTCTTGCCCGCGAAACGCCTCGGAAAGCGCCGAAAACGAAATTTGATAGGAGGGTGAGGAGAGGAGGGTGACTGGGAGGAAGAAGCTCCCCCACACACCACATATAACTTTTCCCGGCACCAATGCATGAGACGGGGTTGGGCTGGACGGAGTTCTTACTAACAGGTTTTTAGTGTCATCGATGTTTTGAGATGAGACAAAACCTATCTTGTACAGAATTTCCGAACATGGTTACCGGATTTACGGAATCACGATTTTCCAAAAGTTATGAATGACCTAAGGCTGAGAAAAGCGCAAAATGACACACTTTGTATGATTTCACTGACTTCAATCGTTGATAACTTCTGGAAAATCAAGATTCTGCAAATTTGGTTTGCAGAATTAAATTTGGTAAGCATCTTCAGAACCAGCGCAAGCACAAGGTATCATAAGAATAGACATTCCAATAGTGAAACAGCTCGACGACGGCACGCTCTCATCCGAACGACACGACGCTGCAGGGGCATAAGCATATGGCGGTGGCCAACAGGGGCACAATGTAAACACGCCATGACGGCAATTTGGGGCCCACCACCAACGGGCCATTCCCGCATAAGCGCTCCCCGCAAGAAATTGCATAATAATGCGAACGGCATGAGTAAGATTGTCATGACGCTTGCCGTTCGACAGATGTAAATCCGAGTCGACGGCTATGAGAAGAGATTTGCCAAGGATCTAACAAAGACAAGCCCAAGAGAAAAGCCCAAGCACGTGAGTTTAATTACAAATAAACTCAGCTTAAATGAACTTAAGCAAACGCAAACTAAGCCCAAAGTTAAGCCTAAGCCTAAGCCGAGCCCAGCTTCAGACTAACCTGAGCTAAACCTAAGCCCAAGCTTCAGCCGGTAGCTTAAGCCTACGGCTACTTCTAAAGTAAGTTTGAACCGCCGAAACCAAACCAGTATGGCAAATCGCAGTTATTAACAGAATTTCGTATCACGAAAAAAAAAAGAATTTCAGGGAACATGCAAAATCGAAAAGGCATCGACAAAGCATTACCAAAAGCCTAGATGCGCGATAAAAAGCCGAACGGCTTCCGCCCCAAGGCCCGTCTGGGGGCAAACAAAGAGCCGGATATCACCTTGCCTCCAAACCACCTGGGCCCTCCCGCGGCTCTCAACTATCTGGGGGCCCTTCTTTAGGCCGAGGGTCGGCGGTCAAAAACTGTCAGTGAGACCAGGGAGTGGGTTGCTGCGCACTCGATCAACACTCATCTCACCGTATGTAAGTTAGGGGGCTAGACGGGGATTCTTTTTGATTACCAGTGCTCAGGGAAAGGGTTGCAACCTTTTGGCGGTAGAATAAACCTTAAAATTCCGCCAAAACTAACCGCTATCAAACCTTCCGAGTAAATGGAATCGGAACTGCCGGGGCTGCCAATCAGCTTAATTCCCAAAAAAAAACGAACGGCAGAACGTAAGAAGGATGATAGGGGAGGAATGTTGACTCGTCCGGCTGGCCGCCGTCTACCACAAGGTTCTCCCTACCATCCCCCTTCTTCACGAAATGTGGGGGCACGTTAGGGGGGGTATAAGCCGATCAGCACCGGATCAGGGCTTCCCCTCGGGGGGAAGGAGGAGGAGGAAGGGCCAACTGAGGGCACATTCACGCAATTCTCCTCCACCAGCGGCTTCTGCTCGAAGGGGGCACAACAAATATTATCGGGGATAAGCGACCTCTAGCGGTCTAAGGGTATAAAAGTTAAAACTTGATAAAATCAGTTATATACACCTCCTAGTCACTTTTAATGAGCTCAGAAATTGCAGAATTTTGAGCTAAAATTCCTATTAACATATCCAAACGCATAGCCCGCGTCGAAAAGTGTCGGCGGCTTTGGGAGTGGGTTGGGTGCGCGGCTGGTTGGGCCTCAGGTTGTGACACGGGGTAGTGAGGGATGTTGATGGATTGAGAGATGGCCTGAGGGCACAACATTGTGATATCCCCATACACCACACGGTAGAGAGGAGGAGAGCGGGTAATAACACGGGATTGGCAAAGGGCTAGGCGTAGCAGTGGGTAAAAGAGGTAGATGCCTCAAAAAGGTAGTTTTTGGGCCTTTTTCCAACCTTTAAAGTGACGGGCAATCGGAAATTTGCCACGGAGCGCGACACGCAACGCATAAGCAGTTTCACCGCTTTAAAGCTGTCGTAATCAATCGCGCAATGGCTAGCGCCCAGATGCGTTGCGTGTCGCGGGCCCGGCAAAACACGCGCGAAATTTAGCGCAAAAAATATATTGCTGGTATATTGGCCGTACCTCTAAAAAGACAGTGGCAACAAGTAGGATACCTTTGCTTTTGCTTTTCTAAAACAGCTCCTAATTTTCTTATAATATGTAGAATCGCTGCCTACTTCCATAGTTGCGTTCCGAGCCCGAAATGTCAGCGAACGCTATCTATCTCCCCGGCCCATGCAACCACCAAAAAAAAACGAGTCACGCGATGTTCCAATAATAAACCCCCCAACGTATTTGGAACCAACAACCCCAGAATTCTGTTTTTTTGGAACCTCAAAGGAGCGCGGCCTTGAAAAGAGTCAAATTGACAAGGGGTGTGTGGCCCCATAGCCGGAAAAGTGGCACTTTTAGCGCGGGGATCATGGATGGTGTGAATGGGTGATTGAGCCGGGAGCTGTCACAAGCCACCCACCAAAATGTATCAAAAAAGCGGGGGGTTGGGGGATCCAGCGGTCGCAGCGGCGCTGCAACCTCGGTAAAACTCAAAAAAATGCCGGGCGCTCTCAACACGTACAGCTGTTGATGCGATCAATCATCTTTGGAAAGTGATGCTTGCAGAGGAGGTGGGCTGGAAAGGGAAATTGTTATGACTCC